GCAAACCATAAGCAAAAAGACTGATAAACTACACATCATTAAAAGAATCTCTGTTCAATAAAAATACCATTAGGAGATTTAAAAGTCAAGTCCTATAGACTAGAAAAAGATACTTTATATATATACTGTTTTTGTCCAATGAAAGACATATCTATAATATGCAAAGAGCTCCTTCAAATCAATACATACATATACAACTCAATTTAAGACTGAGATGACAACTTGGACAGACATTTTATAAAAGAGGATTGACTGGCCAATAAGCAAATGAAAAGGTGTCATCTTTAGTCATCAAGGAAATGAAAATTAAAACCACTACACATCTACCAGAGTGGCTAAAATGAAAAAGATTGGTAACACCATTGGTCAGGATAAAGAGCAACTAGAATGCTCATTTGTTGCCAATGTGAATATAAATTGCACAAACACTTTAGAAAACTGTTCGGTGGTGGTATCTATTAAAGCTAAACATGCCAGGCATGGTGGCTCATGCCTGTAATCGCAGCACTTTGGGAGGCTGAGGCGGGTGGATCATGAGATCAGGAGGTCGAGACTGTCCTGGCTAACACAGTGAAACCCCATCTCTACTAAAAATACAAAAAATTAGCTGGGCGTGTTGGCACGCGCCTGTAGTCCCAGCTACTCGGGAGGGTGAGGCAGGAGAATCACCTGAACCTGAGAGGCAGAGATTGTAGTGAGCCAAGATCATGCCACTGCACTCCAGCCTGGGCGACACAGTGAGATTCCGTTTCAAACAAACAAACAAAAAAACAAACCTGGAAACAACCCAAATATCTATTAATAGGATAATGGATAATAGGTTGTGATATATTTTTAGAATGGAGTACTACAGAACAATGGAAAAGAATGAACTACAGTCTCATGCTATATGTACAGCTGAAGCTCACAGACGTAGTGTTCAGTGAAATAAACCAGACACAAAAGAATACGTACTGCATGATTCCATTTTATAGGTGTGAGGTTCAACAACAGGAAAAACTAACGCATGGTGCCATAAGTCAGAATGGTGGCTTTCAAGGGGCGCAATGACTGGGAGAAGGTACACAGGAGCCTCTGGTGGGCTAGACACGTTCTAGATCTTGATCTAGATGGTGGTCACAGGGTGCATGTCATATGTAAATACTCACCAAGGTGGACACTGAATATCTGGTACTTTAGATACATCATTCCTCAAAAAATTTTTAAAGGAGAAAGTTGGGGCAATTCCGTGGGGAAAGGATGGCCTTTTTTACAAATGGTGCTGGTTCTACTGGGTATCTACATCCTCGATACACAGAAGTTAACTCAAGGTGGACCACAGACTCTCATGTAAGAGCTAAAATGATAACATTCTTAGAAGAAATCATGGAAGTAAAACTCTGTGACCTTGGATTAGGTAATGGGTACTTAGATACCACACCAAAAGCACAAGTGACAAAAGAAAAACTAGATAAATTGAACTACATCAAAATTAAAAGCTTTTATGCTGCCAACAATACCATTAAAAGTGAGCAGAATGGGAGAAAATATTTGTAAATCATGTATCTGGTAAGGGTCTAGTATCCAGAATATATATGATTTAAAGAACTAGCTTGGGCAACATGGTGAAACCTCATCTCTATAAAAAATACAAAAAAATTAGCCGGTCGTGGTGGTGTGAGCCTGTAGTCTCAGCTACTTAGGAGGCTAAGGCAGGAGGAGCACCTGAGCCTGGAAAGTTGAGGCTGCAGTGAGCTGAGACCACGCCACTGCACTCCAGCCTGGGTGACAGAGCAAGGCCCTGTCTCAAAAATAAATAAAAATAAAAAGGAGAAGAAAAAAAAGTACTATTATAATCCAACAATAAAAACAAAACAACATAATTTTAAGAATGGCAAAGGTAGGCTGAATGTGGTGTGCTCTTGGCTCACTGCAAGCTCCACCTCCTGGGTTCTCGCCATTCTCCTGCCTCAGCCTCCCATGTAGCTGGGATTACAGGCACCTTCCACCACGCCCAGCTAAATTTTGTATTTTTAGTAGAGATGGGGTTTCACCATGTTGGTCAGGCTGGTCTCAAACTCCCAACTGTTAGGTCTGTCCATGTGAGGAAAGTCCACCAACAGGCTGTGTGTGAGCAACAAGATTGTTTATTTCACTTGGGTGCAAGTGGGCCGAGTCCATAAAGAGAGCCAGCAAGGGGAGATAGGAGTGGGGCAGTTTTATAAGATTTGGATAGGTAGTGGAAAATTACAGTTAAAAGTGGTTATCTCTTGGCAGGGGAGGGGTCACAAGGTGCAGGGTGGAGAGATCATGAGACTCATTGGAGGAATGGGGAGGAATGTCACAAGGTTGATTGATTAGTTGGGGGTGGGACAGGAACAAATCACCAAGGTGGAATGTCATCAGTTAAGGAAGGAACTGCCTGTTTCATTTTTTTGGTGGTTCTTCAGTTGCTCCAGGCCATCTGAATGTATATCTGCAGGTCACAGGGGTTATGATGGCTTAGCTTGGGCTCAGGGACCTGACATTGAGGATCCTTCTTTCTCTGATACCCTTCTATGAGAATGAATCTGTTTTGGAAGAAAATGAAATTAAGATTATTCGTCACAACAACCACTATCTCCAAATCTGTATTCACTCCTTGTATTCATTATAAGTCTCATCTACCTGATGAGATAACTCTTTTGAAGACAGGAATTGTATGCTGTTTAACAATGCTTTGATTCTTCCACAGTTCAGTCATCCTTGATATCTTGTGGGGGATTGGTTCTAGGATACTGCTGCCACACCATACCAGAATCTGTGGATGCTCAATCCCTTACATATAATGGTGCATATTTGCATATAACCAACACACATCCCCCTATATACTTTATTTATTTACTTAGAGACAGGATCACTCTCTGTTGGTCAGGCTGGAGTGCAGTGTCACAATCACAACTCACTGCAGCCTCAACCTCCTGGGCTCCAGTGATCTGCCCACCTCAGCCTCTTGAGTAGCTGGGACTACAGGTGTATACCACCACACCTGGTTAATTTTTTAATTTTTATTTTTAGTAAAGACAAGGTCTCACTATGCTGCCCAGGTTGGCCTCCCAAAGTTTTGGGATTACAAGTGTGAGCCACAGTGCCTGGCCCCATGTACTTTAAATCATCAGTAATAAAATGTATAGATATTGTACAATGGTGACAGTTGTTATACTGTACTTTCTATTTGTATTTTTATTGTTTCTTTTTTCAAATATTCAGCCTCGTCTAGTTGAATCTGAAGATGTAGACATGCTGATGAAGAGGCTGACTGTATCTAACTTAGGGTCTCGCATGCAGCTGGCACTTAATACATTTTACTGACTGTTTTAGCTAACATTTAACAGACAATTCCTAATAAAAACCTCTTAAAAGTAGGTAAAAAAAGGAAACCTTAGTCCTTCCTCTAAAGTGGACAGAAAACCAGCCTGGGTAACATAGTGAGACCTTGTCTCTACAAAAAAGTTTTTAAAATTAGCTGCCTGCCTGTAGTCCCAGCCACTCAGGAAGCTGAGGCAGGAGGATCCCTTAAGCCCAGGAGTTTGAGGTTACAGTGAGCTAGATCACAACATTGCTTTCCAGCCTGGGTGACAACAAGGCCTTGAGGAAAAAAAAAAAAAAAAGGAAAGGATAAAGGAAAGGAAGGAAAGAATATAAGTATTGAAAAAGAAGAGACAAAACTATGATTATTTGCATGTGAAATGATAAATGTTAGACAGCCAAAGAAGCCTGAGAGAATCAACTAAGATTTTACTGGAAGTAATGTGAGAATTCAGTACAGTGGCTATATACAAAATCAAGAGATTAGCACAAAAACTTCAACTACTTTTCCCATGTACCACCAATAACTAATTAGAAAATGGAAGAAAGATCCCATTTACAATGGCAATACGAATGTATGAAGTATTTGAATAAAAATACAAAGATATTTAACAAAAAATATGTAAGATCTATATGATGGAAACCCTAAAACTCTTCTGAAAGACATTAAAAAGAAATGAACACATGACATGAGATAGCATGTTCCTATAATGTTGTACAGATGTCAATTATCAAATTAATCTACAAATTTAACAGAATCCTATTCAAACCCCAAGATCGTTTTGGGTGGTGGCTGTTTGTGAGACAGGGTCTCGCTCTGTTGCCCAGGCTAGAGTGCAGTGGTATGACCACAGCTCACTGCATCCTCGACCTCCTAGGCCTCAAGCAATCCTCCCACTTCAGCCTCTGAAGTCTCTCATATCGTGTCCAAGAAATGGGGACAAATCTCACAAAGGAACTAGGCTCAGGAGGGCTGGAATATTCAGGGAAGGTTTCAAGCAGAAAGATGAACTTGAGTTGGCTTTTGAGAGATTCATAGGATTCCCACAGGCAGAGTGAAATAAGGGAATTTTAGGCGGACAACGCATAGACAAAAGCAGATATGCGGATGGTGTGACTGGGGTATGGTGAGGGGCTGCTCTGGCTGGAATGGAGGGCTGCCACAATAATGAAATGGTGAATGAGGCAAATAAGGTTGGATTGGTAGCATGGCATCAAGGTTGCCAGCTTATTAAATCACTCTTCCAATTTGCTAGCACTGGCCTGTTGGGAAAAGTAATGCATCATGTAATCAAACAAAAGGCAAACAGAGGCAAGCTCCAGGAATGGGCACTGTAAACAAGACTTGTCCCAGAGTAGCCAGATGTAGGCTTTAGACATGTTAATGCAGGCTGAGCATCTCTAATCCGAGGGGGAATGTCTCATATGGTGTCCAAGAAATGGACACATCTCACAGAGGGCCTGGACTCAGGAGGGCTAGAGTATGAGACATCATTCCCCCTACCCTGTGAACTTAAAAATGTGGCCAACAATTTTTTTGAAAGATGGCTACTCTGTAGTGCTTTAACTGGACCTATTTAGGCAGCACCTTACACACTGGAGAAGGATGATACTATGTGACTCTAATAAATCTACAAGACAATACTTCTCTCTTTTGGCTGTCTCCTTCCTCTCCAGGGTGACGACAACTCCGTGAGGGTGGAGATTATATGTCTCTCATCATTTCGGCAACAAGGAAATAAATTAGTGGCAGAGTAAGGGTGACTTGGTGAGTACATCCAATTGTTGACATAGTTTTGGGTAGGAGAAATTTTGCTATTATATCAACTTAACTTCTTAAAATGGTCTAATGGGATTAACTTGATTTCAATTCACAGAGATCTCCTGGAAGCGAGGATCTTTTAAAAATCCTGGAATATACACTGCAGTAAAAGAACAAAGCATACCTCAGCCTTAAACTACTGAAGAAGAATGTCAAGTGGGGAAGTGGCTTTGGTTTTGAGTTTGTGGGTTCTGAATCCACACAAAGACAGGACTGCATTCTGAAAACCTGAATTAATTATTGTCCTTACCTCAATAAGACAAAAAATTATAATCAAAATCATTAGTATTACAGTCACAGATATTGCCAAGATGAGTCTGTTGTTATAGCCATATCCTGGAACTTCTTTCGTGAGCTAAAAAAAAAAAAAAAGGAAAAATTAAAAAAAAAAAAAGAATGAAAGCTAACTTTTCAAAACCCCAGTATTCCAGTTGAGTAGCTTACAGGTTCTTTTTTATTTTTTTTGAGACAGGGTTTCACTCTGTCACCTGGGCTGGAGTACAGTGGTGCGATCACAGTTCACTACAGACTCGACCTCCCTGGGCTCAGGTGGTCCTCCCACCTCAGCCTCCCGAGTAGCTGGGACTACAGGCACGTGTCACCACACCCAGCTAATTTTTGTATTTTTTTGTGAAGACAGGGTTTCACTATGTTGGCCAAGCTGGTCTGAAACTCCTGACCTCAAGTGATCCACCCACCTCGGCCTCCGAAAGTGCTGGGATTACAGGCATGAGCCACCACTCCCGGCCTACAGTTTATCTTGTACACTAATCTATTTCACTCTCTAAATGAACAAAGTGGGAGATCACTGTTATGGCCAAAGTTACAAAGTGGGAGATCACTGTTATGGCCAAAGTTACAAAGTGGGAGATCACTGTTATGGCCAAGACAAGCTATGGCCTGGGAGTCCCAGGTTCTCTTGTGTGGGCACTTTCCTGGCATATGCTAAATGATGGGAAAGTCTGGGTCTCATGTTTCTGTGTGGTCTTCTGCCCTTTCTGTTTGCTTTTTCTGGGTCTTTCTGCTCTTTCTGGGTCTCATGTTTCTGTGTGTCTTCTGCTCTTCTGCTCTTTCTGTTCCCTCTGGGCTTCCGTGCTTTCATTGATATAGTTCTCAGTTTTCCATTGGTCCGTATCCCATTCTGCCTTGGACGCCTTTACGTCCTGCTGCTCACTGAGGAGCTTCATCAGGAGGCCTGTCCTGGAGATGAACTTGGCACAGGTCACTTGCACATGGGTCTCAGAGCAGTCCGTCTTCAAGGTCTGGATAACATGAGAAATGAACCTTCTCACATCGTTGTTGGGGATGAGGGACCATAGCTGCTGGGATAGCTGAATTTCATACTGATCACCTGGGGATGAGAGCAGTGGGTAATTGAAGCTTTTGGGCTCGGGGGACAGGTCAGTGCCCACGTTGCTGTATTCCCATTTTGTCTCAGTTTAACAGTTGGCCCTAAGTTGAATGCAGTCCCAGCGGAATCTGCCTCAGGAGGAGGATTGTAGGTTGTGTTTTCAGAGATGGTGGCTTCTGGCATAGTAGTGTTTTCCATAAAAATGTTTTCTTCAGAGACATTTCTTACAGTTGTGTTTTTTACAGCAGTGTTTTCTATAAACTGTTCTGAAGGAGCAAATAACTTCCGGAAAAGGGTTTTCTTGAGGACTCAGGTCTCCTGAGGATGAAAAAGCCTGTTGTGAAGGGGAATTTATGAGGCTCTTTGCTGCAGAGAATGGCGGCCTCTTTGTGAACATCAGTCTATTGAGATAACTTTTCTTTCTTAACTTTCTAATCTTTTTGACCTTGGGTGTTCTGTGGGCCGCATGGCAGTGAGTTTTATGAAAGTGGTATTTGTTTCTGGAATGTACGATTGGTTTAGCAGCCTTCATATTTTTAACTCTAGCCTTTGCATTTTCTAAAATTAAAATGGCGTAGGCTAAGTCTTTCTATCTATCTCTGACCTGAGGTAGGGCTTTTGCAGGGGTGGAGGCAGAAGGCACGCCCATGGAGAAGGGTTTCAGCAAAGAGGAGACTGTTGGCTTATGTTCTTGGGTGAATGAAGGCTTGACGGTGTTTCCCGCTACGTTCTTGGGCCCCTGCTCTATGTGAGGCTGTTCCAGCTCCCCTGCGGCTGGACTCCCGAGCCTTTTCTCTATGGCAGCATTCTGCACAAAGGCCTGCGCACCCTCTTCCCTCCTGATGCTCTGCTTTCCCACCTCTTTGAAGTACCTTTTCTGGATGCTCCTTGGGCCCATGAGGACTCTGTTCATTCTCTGCAGGTTTTTGCCTACACTTTGAATCTTTGCCAGGCTGCTTTCCTGTGGTTGGACAGTTTCTAAGTTCTTTTCAAATATTTGGCGTTTAAATTTGTTACCTAGAAGGCTGGACTGCATAAGCATGGCAGTTTTTTCCTCCCTTTTAACTTCATCGATTTTTTTCTCGTACTTCTGCATCTAATATCTTTTCCAGGAAATATACCTTTCTCAATTTATTTTCATAAGTTGAGTTGTTGGATGCAGGTTGAAGCGAGGGGCTCTTTGTATTGTTTTTCAGAATACTCAGGAGCCTATCTCCATCTTGCACATTTGAAAAAAACAGTTTAATGAATGGTAACAACATGGATTCCACATCTAGATTTCCTGCTGAGAAATAAGGCAAGATGTAACTTAGCACACAGATAACATCACTCTTGTCATTGGTGTCTAGCTGCTCACTCCCAAAGCCTGACAAGCTGATGCCATTACTGTCTAAGGCCGCCTCCGGCTCAGTAGTCAGCTCAGTGCTCATGTGCTTCTTCTGGGCTTGTAACACCTTCATGAATGCTCCTTCTGGATTCCCTACAGATGATTCTTCAGCTGTCAAAAAACAAGAGACTGCTTTGATCTTGAAAGATGATGGGATGGCACGCATCAGTCCACAGCTGTACACCCCAGTCACACAGAGTAGGAGTCAGCAAGCATTCGAGTGCCATTCAGCGAGGCGAAACATACACCCAATCCTAAACCTATGAAACGGCAACAACAAAAGGAGGAAAAGACATTTTTTGAAAACATGGCCACCTACTTGGAACATTCCATAGTGTGACATAGAGTAACTCTGCTTAGGATTATTCCGTTGATCCCCAGGGGCCAATAGCCCAGGGCTCAGTGAAAGCCCAAGGTGGAAGACAAGTGCTTCCCTGATGAGCTGATGAGCTGGCCTCTCTGCAGACTGCTCCGTACCCTGTGCTGTCCTGCCTCAGATGCAGAGAGCGCACAAGGCTCCCTCTCTCATCCTCAGTGTGCCTGTGGTCTTGCTACCATCACAGCTGAATGCAATGAAAGGCAGTTCTCTGAGAGGAGCAGGGTGGAGATGCTAAAGTGGAGGCCCCCTCCCATTGCTGATAGATCCTCATCTGGCACACACTCCACCCACCAACCCCATTCTCTGCTCCCACATATCGTTGCCCCATCACAGAAGACGTGACATGGAAAAAGCACTGTGTCCACCCTAGTTCTTTTCTTAAATTTGGGAAGGGATCCAGGGTATAGGTTAAGAGATTTTTAATTTGCCAGATGGTATGCCTATGTTGTTAAATATACGATGCATCTATGGTATGATAGCAGTTTCTGGATAAACATTACTTGAGGTCCTAAAATGCAGAAGGGAAAAAGCAACTTTTGTCAGGTGCCTACTTTGCTTTCATTTCATCTCTAATATTTTGGATGGGGAATCATCCAAATCTAACTGCATGAAGGTCAAGTGTGCCAGTGTGCAGCTGGGTTTCTTTTCCAGAATTAAAAGTATTTTGGGTGGTGGGGAGGGTCAGAGGAAGAAGTAAAGATTGTGAGAAAGGAGAAACATGGGCTTGGGGAGAACCCAGAATTGGAGACAGAAGACCTGGCACTAGGCTACAACACTGAGCACCTCTGATCTTGTTTTTCCTCATCTGTAAAAGGTGATTAGCAATGCTTTTCTGCCCACCTCTTGGGGAGAAGGGAATAATTTAATTGGTAAAAAAAAAAAAAAAAAAAAAAAGTTTTGAAAAATAAGTAACACTGTTTTTATATAAGTAGCCAAGCATTATTAATTATCCATCCCATATCTCTGGTAGATACTTGTATTCAAGTTATCTGGACTGGAAAGCAGTCACATTTTAGTAGTCATGAAGTTGGTACTAATAAACCTAATCTACAGAAAAACTCTTGAAAGCACTTGAGCATTTGTTCTGTGAATAGAAAGGTTCAGAGCAAGTTCAGAGCTGGATGGTCTAAGAATGGAAAAGCCCTCCATTCCATTAGAAGAGCCAGGTAGCAATTTTTGGTTATGGAACCAGAAACTCTTAGGCTTCAAATAAAACAGCATCACTTGTACTCTTATAAAATTGTAAAAACAAAACAGGATCTACATCTGTCCTAAAAGGCAGAGAGTACTTCACGCATATAAAACTAGCTTACAAACTACATTGCACTATATGAGGAAATTATCACTTGGGGCAAAGCACCAAGCAGAGAGCACAGTACACTGGGTGTGGATGTTAGTGTCATTCCCTAGCTGTCCCATTCCTTTCTCTTGGTCCTTTATGCATATGGAACAGTTCCATTATTAAATTTTGTGATAATAACTGAGAACCTGACTCCCAGCAAGGGAGTAGTTCAGAAGTTGAGGGAGTTTAACTCTGAATGAGTAAATAAAGCAATTATATCACTAGCTTAAAATTTTATCATCAATTAAAAATAAAAAATATAAAAACAAATATTTAAAATAATGTAACAATTTATCACCAGGCAATTTGGACTCACGACAATCTATGGTGTTTGTCAGACCTGCACTGTTGCAATGCAGCTTGACTGTCTTGCAGACAGCCTCAGTGCTATTTTTAAATCGGCAGAGGCAGCAGGCCATATGGCTAAGTAAGATCCTATAGATGAAAACACAAAACAATAAATTAGTGGTAAAGCAGTTACTTGAGTAGGCAAAGGAGGCAGGCCAACGCTACCACAGGGCTGGGCAAAAAGGTGTTACTGAGGACTGGACAGTTGGGTAGGAGCCAGAAGACCAATGGGAAGGAGGACAAAGGTGCCCAACCGAAAGGTAAGCATGGCAGTGAGTATGGTATGCCTAGAATAAAGGTGGTTGGGATTAGAATTGGGTGACACTGATCAGTAGTTTAATTCAGAAGTATCTCTTCCCAACTCATAAGTCTCACTTTGGGCTGAAAGTACACAGGAAGAAGGTAGACTTCTAAGAAGAGTCTGAATAAGCCCCCAACTTCTGGAGTCCCTTTCTCAATTCCTGTTGGGAGTGGGAAATATTAGAAATTACTCTGGGCATTAAAAATAGCTCAGATTAACCTGGATTGTGGGGTTAAAAAATAACAGAGATTGCATTGGCCAAATCTGGACAATTTGAGCATTAGAAAGAATAACAACAAAAAGCTACAACATAATTTATAAAAAAGAATCCATGAAGAATGATATTAAAAAAGAGAGGGAGTTGTTCTTTAATGAAATAATGCCAGCTAATAAATGTAGAAGGAATGACAATTTTTAAAAGTGTCACTTTGCAACCACCAATGTAATAAAAATTGATTCAGACAAAGATTATCATTGATGGACACAGCTGGGTGAAAAGACATTTGGGCCAGGCACAGTGGCTCACGCCTGTAATCCCAGCACTTTGGGAGGCCGAGGTGGGTGGATCACGAGGTCAGGAGATTGAGACCATCCTGGCTAACATGGTGAAACCCTGTCTCTACTAAAAATACAAAAAAATTAGCTGGGCGTGGTGGCGAGTGCCTGTAGTCCCAGCTACTTGGGAGGCTGAGGCAGGAGAATGGAGTGAAGCTGGGAGGTGGCGCTTGCAGTGAGCTGAGATCGCACCACTGCACTCCAGCCTGGGCGACAGAGTGAGACTCCATCTCAAATAATGATAATAATAACAAAAATAAAAGACATTTGAGAACAGGATCTTCACTGATCTCAAAGTACCAACCCACAGATTTTTTATTAATTACCAAAGGGAAAAATTATTTTTTGTTTTTTTATGAGACAAGGTCTCATTCTGCCACCCAGGCTGAAGTACAGTGGCAAAATCATAGCTCACTGCAATCTCGACCCCTCTGGGCTCAAGTGACCCTCCAAATTCAGCCCCCCAAGTAGATGGGACTATAGACTTGCACCACCACGCCAAGCTAATTTTTTTTTTAATTGCATTTTTAGTAGAGATAGGGTTTCACCTTGTTGCTCAGGGTGGTCTAAAACTCCTGGACGCAAGCGATCTGCCTGTCTTGGCCTTCCAAAGTGCTGGGATTACAAGTGTGAGCCACCACACCCAGCAAAATAACTACAATGGAGAGATCTGGAAGATCACCTTAAACAAGTGATCAAACTTAGCATTATGAGCCACCTGCGGTCACGAGGCAGGAAGGATCCATCACCTATGCAGTATTCTTCCCAAAAATGCTTAACTTGACTCTCATCATGCGGAAACAGACAAATCCAGATTGTGGAACAATTTACAAGGAAACTGTCTTTGACTCTTAAAAAATGACATGTCATTAAAGATCAAGAAAAGTAGAGTAATGTTTTAGATTAAAGGAAATGAAGACATGACATGCAGTGCCCAATCTTTCATTGGATTCTGTACTGTTCTTTCATCTTTCTGGTATGTTTGAATTTTTTTCAAAATATAAATTTGGGCAAAAGAGATAACCAAGATAATTGATTAATGTATTGTTATGGCTTATTGGGGGCAGTTTCAGAGAAATAAAAACAATCTCTGTAACTGGAATAAATTCTCAAGGTTAATCTTAAGCAGTATAGATATCATGGTCATTAAGAATACAGATTCCACAGCCAGACTAGGCTTAAATCCCAGCTCTGTGAATAATATGAATTTGGGCAAATTGATTAATCTCTGTTCCTTGGCCTTGTCATTATAATAATACCTACCTCTAATGAGTTTTGAGGATTAAATGAATCAGTACCTGAAAAATGCCTGGCACACAGTGAGTGCGCAACAAATGTTAACTACTATAATTATTACATTACAGAGGTTGTGGGGGGACCTTTTCTGAGTCTTCCAAAAGGATAACTTTATTAGGGCCACATTAAGATTGTGGAAACAGAAGAGTATTCAATGGATACATGAAGTCTATGAGTTGGGGATACAATATACAGAGTTTTAGATTAAAACTGCATCCAATAAGTTGGTCTGACACATCTTTCAAACCTATAGAGGAATAATCAGAAGTGACTAGTATTCCTTTGGGTCCAATAGAAGGCTCTGATCTTCATATAGATTGAATGTACCCAGAACCATAACCTAGCATTTTACTTATATAGCAACCTTAACTCTTGACACAAAGGTGTTTCTTTTGTTTTGAGGCCGAGTCTCACTCTTACACAGGCTGAGTGCAGTGGTGCAATCTCGGCTCACTGCAGCCTCTGCTTCCTGGGCTCAAGTGATCCTTCCACCTCAGCCTCCTGAGTAGCTAGAACTACAGGTGTGTGCCACCACGCCTGGCTCATTTTTGTATTTTTTGTAGAGATGGAGTTTCACCATGTACTCCAGGCTGGGCTCGAACTCCTGAGCTCAAGCAACCCTCTCTCCTTGGCCTCCCAAAGTGCTAGGATTACAGGCATGAGCCCAAAGTTTTGTTATTCTTTTCCTGCCCCCAACTTTTGATTTTAAACATTTTCTTTTTTTCCTTTAAGCCTTAGGATGGCTAGGAAGCATTTTCAAATGGTATAATGAACACCTGTATAACTTTCATCTGGAATCAACAGTAGCTAATACTTTGTCACATTTGCTTTCCATGTGTGTATGTCTATACGTTTTCTGGACAAACCATTTGAGAGTCAGTTGCAGACATAATGACCCTTCACCATTAAAGACTTCAGTGTGCAGCCCCCAAGAACCAAGGCATTCTCCTACATAACCAGAATACTATTATCACCCAATGAAACTTAATATTATCATTGTCTACTGTGCAGTCCATATACACATTTTCACAATTGTCCCAATCATAACATGGCTTAAAAAATTCAGAATCCAGTCAAACATCAGTTATTGCATTTAGCGTTCATGATTTTTTTTTTTTTTTTTTTTTGTAGAAAGACCTTTAATACTTCTGTTTACAAAATTCAGGCATACATTTCAGTTTGCCCTGAACTGTGCCCAAGGCTTTGTGCTCATCTCTGCCAGGGTGTCTGTGCCCCTCATGTGCTGCTGATGAGGATGCAGAGCAGAGCCTGGGGTCCGGAGGCCTCGCAGGGCCTCAGGGGAAGGGGAATGTGAATGTGGCCCAGCCCAGAGGACCCTCCATTTCATCGATTTTGAATTGGGCGACAGAGGAAGCAGATGTCAGGGCTGCGGACCTGCTGGTCTGGGCAGGGGTCTGGGGACCCTGGGGCTGCCTGCCATGGTCTAGAGGAGGAGGCTGGGGCCACTTCCTATAGGTGGCAGCGGCTCAGCAAGGGGAGGCCTGGCCACCAGGGGCTTGAACATTCGCTCACTGGAGCCTTTGTGCTTGGCCCTCAGCAGCATGACTGGGGCTGTGGTCCCGTGTGAGGTGTGCTGGGGGGTGTGTAGGTGGCTGGTGGTGACTGCTTGTGCCAGAGTGACACAGGCTTCCGTGGGCCTGGCTGGGGACAGTTAAAAAGCTGAAAAGGCCGGGCGCGGTGGCTCAAGCCTGTAATCCCAGCACTTTGGGAGGCCGAGACGGGCGGATCACGAGGTCAGGAGATCGAGACCTCCTGGCTAACACGGTGAAACCCCATCTCTACTAAAAAATACAAAAAACTAGCCGGGCGAAGTGGCGGGCGCCTGTAGTCCCAGCTACTCGGGAGGCTGAGGCAGGAGAATGGCGTGAACCCGGGAGGCGGAGCTTGCAGTGAGCTGAGATCCGGCCACTGCACTCCAGCCTGGGCGACAGAGCCAGACTCAGTCTCAAAAAAAAAAAAAAAAAAAAAAAAAAAAGCTGAAAAGGTACTTGGCTTTGTGAGGGCAAGGCTTGGGAGGCGGGGTCCTGCAGGAGACA